TAGCTGGAGCGTCAATGGTAACCTGCAAATCAAGAAGGAGTTACTGAATCCACACAATTTCACAAGTAGAAGAAGCCAAAGCACGATACTCTGCCTCAGCTGAAGACCTCAACACGATTGTTTGCTTTTTAGACTTCCAGGAGATTAAGGAATTGCCCAGAAAAATGTAAAAACCTATTATGGATTTTCTAGTATCATAACACGACCTCCAATCAGCGTCTGCAAACGCCCTTAACTGGAAAGAGAATGAAGCATCAAATAACAACCCTTGACCTGGAATGGCCTTAATTTACCTCGACAGATGATGTATAGCATCTAGGTGAGGCTGCCGTGGCTGTGAAACAAATTGACTCAATTTGTGGATAGTAAATGTAATATCCGGCCTTGATATAGTCAGGTAAAGTAATCGACAAACTAACCGTCGATACATAGAAGCATCATCAAGTAAAGCACCATTAAAAGAACTAAGCTTTATCTTAGGATCCATTGGCAATGCTGTTGGTTTACAAGCCAAGAAACCAATATCTTCAAGAAGTTGTAGTGTATAATGGCTTTGAGAAAAAATATAGAAAAAATATTCCCTTATGAGATCTAGCTATCTCCAATCCAAGAAAATATTTAAGGTTACCAAGGTCTTTCAACTTGAACTGTTGATGCAATAAATTCTTCAGGGAATCAATGGTTTTGACATCAGATCCGGTGATGATTATATCATCAACATAGATAAGTAGAGCTATAAATGTGACACCAGAACCTTTTGTAAATAATGAATAGTCCGATTTGGACTGTTGAAAACCATGCAATAAAAACATGTGAGAAAACTTCGAAAACCACTGTCGGGAGGCTTGCTTTAGGCCATATATTGATTTGTACAACCTGCACACTAGCTTCTCCCCCTAAGGACCAGTGTTATGACGTTTAAAATGACCTAAAGGTAAGTCCATGTATATCTCTTCGAATAAATCCCCATTAAGAAGCATTATTTATATCTAATTGAACTAAATGCCATTTCCTAATGGCAGCAACAACAAGTAGAGCTTTGATAGTCACTTACTTGGCAACAGATGCATATGTTTCATTAAAGTCTAGTCCTTCCTGCTGGGTATAGCCTTTAGCCACCAACCTTGGTTTATACCTTTCTATCCTCCCATCAGATTTGAACTTTACTTTATATACCCAACGCCATCCAATAGAATGTTTATCTCCTGGTAAGGCTGTAATAGTCCAAGTATGGTTAGCTTCTATGATGCTAATTCATCAAACATGGCATTCCTCCATTGCTCATGTTGGACAACTTGATGATAGAATTGAGGTTCAAAGGTAGAAGAAACGTTGAATAAAAGAGAATTATGTGAAGTGGAAAAAGCTTTATAAGACAAAGACTTACATAAAGGATATATGGAATCAGTTTGAGAAGCAGAGGAATTGGTAAGAAGATTACAATGGTAATCACGAAGGTAGGCTGGAATTTTACGTGTTCTATTACCTCTTCCATGATTGGATGAAGGTAAGGGAGGTATGTTGGTTTCATTGGCTGGAATGGAATTTGTATTGACATTAGGATATTCATGATCATGAGAAATGATTTGAGAAATATCATCACATAGATTATCAAAAGGAGGATTAGTTTGAGGTTTTGCAAGTATAGAAGAAGTGTGAGAATGATATTAAAGTGATTCTCGAAAAGTATTTGGTAGAGCAACATCACTGAATGGATCAATATAGTCAGGATGAGAGCAAATTGTTTGAAAAGGAAAGATGTATTCATGAAAAAACACATCTCTAGAGATGAGAAATGTCTTGTTGATAATATCATACACTTTGTATCCGTTATGGTAGGAGGATAACCAACAAAACCACAGGCCTTGGCTTTTGGGTGAAATTTTGATCGATTAGAAGACAAGGTAGAAGCAAAGCATAAGCTGCCAAATGTTCTAAGATGATTGTAGTCAACAGGAGTTTTGTATAAGCAGAGATATGGAGATTCGTGTTTCAGTAATGTGGCTGGAGTTCTATTGATGATGTAAGTAGCTGTGACGATGCACTCTCCCCATAATTGGATATGAATTCTTGATTGGAAGAATAAGGTATGAGCCACATTTAATAGATGCTGGTGCTTCCTTTCTACAACGGAGTTCTGCTCTAGCCTCTCAACACATGAGTATTGATGAATCACTCCCATTTTATTGAATAATTCTATGAACTTCAACTCATTAGCATTGTCAGATCTAAAACCTTTTATGACCTTGTTAAATTTTGTCTCAATGAGGGTAAAGAATCTGGGAATTATGAAAGTTACATCAGACTTTTGTTTCATCAAATAAACCCACGTAAATCTGGTACAGTCATCAAATAATGTTAAGAAGTACTTGTAACCAGCATGTGAAGCCACACTATAAGGTCCCCAGATGTCGTAATGAACCAAATCAAAAGGATTAGATGATAAATGATTATTAGACACAAATGAAAGTCTCATCTGCTTCGCCAATGGACAAATATAACAGGGGATATCTTTCCTTCTTTCATCATATTTCAAAAGGCCTTTCAACAGATCAAGTTTCTTAAAAGATAGGTGCCCAAGTCTATGGTGCCAAACATGACTTGTTACATTGTTTGCCAACATATTACAAGAATGCATAACCGATGAAATGTTCGAAAATGAACTAACAGAATTACAAGAACCCTTGGTATTAACAAATTTATTCTGAATGGAATTAAAAGATCTTACATTAATGACATATAGATCTTCAGCTCTTTCACCTTTACCAATCATCTTCACCGTTGGCACAACCTGAATCATACGAGTGTCTGTGAGAAAAGTGACACTTAATGTAGATTTCCTTATTAACGAACTTACTGACAGAAAGTTAAATCTGAACTATGGCACGAATAATACATCTTCAAGGATAAGTTCATGTGATAATTTCACATCTCCAATGAACTGAACTGAAACCTTATCACGATTAGGTAATATGACAAATGAATTCTCAACTCTCCTCAATTTATCAAAGAAATAACGATTGGAACAAATGTGACTTGTAGCTCTAGAATCAATCACCCAAACTGTAGGTGAATTGATTATTGAATTGGAAGAAACAGAGAAGCAAGTACCTGTCATATGTTCAGAACTTCCATCTTGCCGTGTCTCATTTTTGCCAGTAGTTAGATGAGTGTTTAGCATACTCATCAGATGTTGATATTGAGTTTGGTTCAAGGTCTGCATAAAATTCCTAACACCTTCTTTAGTTTGATCCAAGGAGTTGAATCCCTCAGTAACTGAACCAGCCACAACACAATTGGCTTGATTAGTTCGATTATTGAAGTTCATCTGATTATTTGATCCTCCAATTCTCTGTCTATGTTTATATCCAGGAGGGAACCCATGTAATTTGTAACACTTACTAATGTCATGACCTGTATATCCACAATATGTACATACATGCTTCTTTCTCTTCTGCAACTTATTATTCAGTTGCCCTACATTGGCCTTCTTAGCCTCATTCTTAACATAAAAATCCATTGAGTTATTAATACCAGAAGTGTCAACATTTGTATTCACTTTTCTCTGATTTTCCTCTTGCACAACAAGGGCAAAGACTTTATTAATCGAAGGAATTTGATCCATTAATAGCAATTGACCTCTTATCTGTGCATAAGACTCATGTAAACCCATCAAAAAAGACATCACATATTCTGTCTGATAGTGATTAGTAAGACTATTGTTACCTCTACAAACACATTTACCACAAGAGCACAGAGGTCCATAGCTGCTAAGTTCTTCCCAAACGGTCTTCAGTTTGGGGAAATAGGTACTAACAGAAGATTCCCTCTGGGTTAGATTCATCAATTCATGCCTCAATTAAAAAATTCGTGGACCATTCTTCTGTTGATATATTTCATTGAGATCGACCCAAATGTCATGAGTTGATTCAGAATACATTATGCTAGCTAATATCTCTTTGGAAACTGAACTAAGAATCCATGATATCACCATATTGTTGTTACGAATCCAGGCACCGAATAGATCACCAGTAGGATTAGGAGCTATAATAGAACCATCAATGAACCCTAATTTGTTCTTCACAGACAACACAATCACCATGGATCGACTCCAAGAGGCATAATTATCCCCTAAAAGCTGATGTGAAACTAGTACCAAACCCGGGCTATCTGAATGGTGAAGAAAGAAAGGATTCGATCCATTATCAGTTGCTGAATTGATAACTGATGATGTATATATATATATATATATATGCATAGACTAATTCAGAATGTCAGTCGCCATTGATCAAAGTGAAGGAAGCATAAGAATATGCTCTGATACCATATTAGAGAAAAGAATAAATAAAGAAGATATTTTCTCTTATTATCAAAACGTAAAAAACAGAATGAAATACATCGATCCTATTTATAAATACAAAGGCCAATTGGTGTCATCTGTCACTATCCAACTAACAGAATTACAGCTAGCAAGATACTACAAGATATTATAAAAATGGGGCCAAAAATTAAAATACTAAAATGCTGAATTGCTGAGCTGGAACATGGCTTGAGCTGATGATAAAGCTAAGTTGATCAAGTTGCTGCTGGAAACTGGGAGCTGGAGCTGAACCTCTAATACTACAGATGCACATAATCTACAATAAATAATCGTGATTATCATCTTTTTTGAATTATAATTTCCAATGACACTGCTGCAAGCTTGCAACCAATATTCATCGTTGTTTTGTTAGCGCGTTAGACTCCTCTACATTGGCACTTGCTTATAATAAGCTTTGAAATTAAGTTATATTCTTTTGCTTTGTCTAGATGTGAGTTCCTAAGGGTCTATTAGATAGGATTGTGTATGGGATGAACTTTTTCTTTTGGTTTTGATTTTTGTTTTCGTTTGGCTTTATTTCGATGAATATTGTCCATGGATCTTCTAGTGATATGCAGCAGTATCACAATAAATAACATTGAGAAGGGGTTCCCTTTGATATTGGCAATTTTTAAAAGAAATGAATAGAAAATCAAATAGATCAAAAGTTACCACTGGAACGGAAATTGTCCCTTGTCCATCCTCTTCCAAGAAGACATCAAAAAGGGTTTGGGATTCTATAGCAGCTTACACTGTTCAGTGTGGAAAATGCTTCAAATACGAGAACGGATAGCAGAAGAGCCTTTCCTTTGTGAAACTGCTTGTGATTAGCGCTCTGAAATAACCTGTGATGATGAACTAGATCTTGTGAAAGATGGCAGCTGGCGTTGGGCAATAGAAAAAGTATTCTTCTACCTCCTCCTGGTTGGCAATGCATTTTTCCAGTCAGAGCTGAAGGAGGCACAAAATTTACTGATGTGTATGTATGCAATTTCATTTAATTATTGCTAGTTCATTGGAATTACTTTGAAGCCTTCAGAAATGAAAATTTCATTGTGACTTCAATGGGGGTGGTGTCTTGTTCCTTCACAGGTATTATGTTGTACCATCAGGCAAGCGATTACGATCTATGGTGGAAGCAGAGATGTACAATTCTTCTTATGATGGTCATTAATTCTTTAGCACCTGCTTAGGTTCTTTAGACCTTATTTTAAGAGGCATAAATAATTGTTGGAGGACCTGTACTTTAGATTTCAGATTCTTTATTTTTATTTTTTATTTTTTTGCTTATATATTTTGGGTGTTTCTCTTTCTAGCTATCTGAGTGAACATCTAGAATACCATGGTGTAACAAGTTCACAGTTCTCATTTCAAATTCCAGCACCTTTAGAGGAAAATTACGTAAGAAAGCGGCATGCTCGTTCTACTATTTCGCACAAGATGAGTCGCACTGTGATGCTGGGTTTGACGTTTGATTCTGACTTGCTAAGATTTCTAACTAGATCCATCTTTGCTTTTATATTACGTCTTTATGTAACTTATTTTCTTATTTATTCTCTACCGCATGTTGTTTCAATTCTATGTCAGTTGCTGTCAATCCCATATCTTGGATTGTTTCAGAGCAGAGACTTGCACTTTGGTGGGGAAGGAACTCTACTCCAGAAGCTGTGACTACTGCTGATGGTTAAAAGTAGTTTTGTGTCATTTTCCAGAATGCACAAATTTAGCCTTGAGTTGTGATATTCTTTATTTTCTTGTGAAAACAATGAATTATTTTAATTTAATTTTAAGAAGCGAGTTTAGGATAATGAAAAACTACAATTGTAATGACTTCTTTTAGTCTTGTAGACATATAGGTTTAGTGAATATGAATATATAGACACATTTAAGGGGTAGCTAATTGGATTGATTTCCCAACAATCCGTTTTATTTCCCAACAAGTGGTACCAAAACTATTGGTTGTGATTTGTTCGAGGTTTTGTTATTGATGGCAGGTTTGAAGTATGAAATTCTGCTCTTGGATCACAATGCAAGATTTTCGTTATGATAAGTGAAACTGCGAGTTGTGCTTGCATAGATGGATTTGGATGAGGCATTGTTGGGATTTGACAAAATTCCTACAATTTGGACGACGGGGCAGAAACAATGGAAGGATCGAAATATACTTTCACAGATCCATCTTCATCTCTCTAACAATATTTGTAGGACGTTTTGAAGGAGAAAACGACAGCTTCATTGCGGTTGAAATTGCATCTGAACCAGATGTTGTATTCTTATCGCATGGCTGAAGGCAAATCTTTGAAAGATCATCTAGCTGTGTTCAAGGATATCGTCGCTGATTTGGAGATTTTAGAGGTAAAGTATGATGAAGAAGATATGGCTTTAATCATTTTGTGTTTACTACCCACTTCGTTTATATTATTTAGAGACACGATTTTGTATAGTCGTGATACTCTCACCATTGAAGATGCGTATAATGCCTTATTTTCAAAAAGAGAAGATGAAGCATCTAATTAGGTTTGAGGCCAGAAATGGAGAATGCCTTGTTGTTCATGGTGATCGGAGAAGATGTAAGTCGAAGTCAAATTTCAGTAATCGGGTTTACTATTACTACAAGAAGAAATGACACATTAAGAGGGATTGCAAAAAATTGCAAAACAAAAGTAATTTGACTGCAAATCGTGGGAAGTAACCAAGTATTTCAGACGAGACCAACATAGCCGGAACTATTTGAGTGATGGAGATGTTTTGAAGATTTTTGACGTGGAATCCAAACTTGCTAAGGAGTGGTTTTTGGATACAGCTTGTGTGTCTGTGTTCCAATTGGGATTTGTTTGAAACATGTGAAACGGTAACACAATGTGTTGTTGTCATGGGTAACAACGAACCTTGTCGGGTAGTTGGTATTGGTAGAGTCAGATTGAAGTTAGTGGATGGAACATGTAGAATACTTGATCACGTTCGACACATTCTAGATTTAAAAGAAAAATATTGTTTCATTAAATACTCTTGATTCAAAAGAGTACAAAACCTCTGGAGAATGTGGAGTTTTGAGGGTTTGAAAGAGTCTCTGTATTGTATTGGAGGGGTGGAAAATGTCCTAGTTATACATTTTGCAAGGCCGGGCAGAATTTGTGAAGAAAAGTCAGCACATATTTAGTAATGTGGTGTAGATTCAGTTTGATATTGTACATTTGAGATTTGGTTTGGAGTCCATATTAAAGAATACTACTCAATCGAGTTTGGAGGATATGGGTAATTTCGCTTTGTCACAATTACTTGTGGTTCCATCGTATTCAATTGCTAAGGATAGATCCATTGGAGATAGGTATGTGGATGCTTATTCGGTTGCACATGCTTTTAGCGTTTTTTAAGGTGTTGAGACTAGCCAGGAACCTTCTATGAAAACATTGGGGGTTGATTCTACTACATGGTGTACTTTGACGCTGTTTGGTAATTTCTAATTCTTTGTCAATTTTGGGAAACCCAGTTTTTGGGTTTATGTATCCATGTTGGATACCGTGAAAGCAAGGGGTTATTTTTGCATTGGAGAAAGTTTGTTCTTGTTGGAGAGTTCGAATTTTTCATTGCAGTTGGATTTATTTTTCCAAATGGAGAAATCTTGGAATTTCGTTCGTTGCATTGAAATTTGTGTCAAGGTGGAAATTGTTAAATTTTTTTTTATCCAAATTAAGTTGGATTTTTTGAGAAAATATTTTTTCCCTCTTCGCACATATTTTTATTGGAAAAATAATAGAAAAATATTGTTTCATTTATTTCACGTGATTTTTTATTTTGTTTCCATCTTTATGGTATTTCTAGGGTTTGACGTCCACCCTTATAAATAATAGACTCTTTTCGCAAGTTTTGTATTACTGAAATATCGGATAATTGTGTAGACACAATTATTGTATTTGTTTTTTCCATATTAATCAATTGAATAAAATACTCAGTTTCTTTACCAATTAATTTTTTGTCTTTTATCTTATTGTATATTTGCGATGATATACTTCATATCGTGTCATATTACCTCGATCTCTTTATTTCCCAACAGAATTAAAGAACTTGTGTACAAACCACCTTAATAACTCAGAAAAGAAATAAAAGGGCATGATCCTGTACTCAAGCAGTTGCTCCTACTGGTTCTGCAACCTTGAGTCTGGAGGATCCATACAGTGTTTCTTCGAACCGGATAATCTCATTTTTGGATCCGTATGCAACTTGGGTCCTGTCATCAAGATTTGTGACGACCCGGTCAAGTACGGATTGTTTGCCATCACTGCTATAGCCACCGGCTTTTTCGATCAAGAATCCCAATGGAGCCACTTCAAAGAGTAATCTCAGCTTGGCTTTGGCTGTTGGGGATGTTACATTTGTGAAGATTCCCTTCTCTTTCACAATAATCTGCCAACAATACATAAAGGATTTGTAAGGCACGGTTCTGTGTGCAGTCTGAGAAGCACGAGATCACTATTATAATGTTCTTATAGAGAGAATATATTAACGAGAGACTCACATTCAGGGTGAACTATTATGTGTGTGTGTGTTGCATTTCTATTTGTTTCTTTTAATGCTTTTGTAAATAGGGACCAAGACATAATCCCATAACATGTCACTGAGCCTACATTAATGACTCAAATCACCTTCATACAAGATTTTATCAAAGGTCTTAAAGGAAAGATATAGAGACCTGGTTAACATCGGGAACCATTCCTCCCGTGTATCGCAATGTGTATTTCTCCCGAACATAGTAGTCAATCAGCTGTCAGTGAAAAACATCAGTATGTTAAAATTTATAGATGTATCAAGACATAATCCACAACGATTCCTGATGAGGAAATGAGTCAAGAAGAAGGAAGTTTGAGCTTGATGACGATGAATTCCATTCAATAAGTTTTCTCACTACCTCTCCTAGGAAAACAAAAGAGCAATCCATCGAGAGAATGGGTACCTTCTCACGAAGGGGTCGACTTTATATGAACATTAATTTTCAACAACAGAAATAGAATGGCAATTAAAAGCAAAATTCAAGACTGTAGAAGAACCTTGGCATATTCAGGATTGTCAAAGGTAGCCCTCAAATTGCCAGGGGAAAACATTTTTCCTTCACCAATTGTTGTTGTATCTTTCACATGTAGCCATTTTCCTGCCAGAAAAATATATCGATGAAAAAGATATGTAGAACCTTTGCTTTCGATGGTCGGAACAGTAAATAATGACTTACTGTCAAAAAAAGTAAAATTTGTACGGAAATTCCAAAAAACAGCCAACTTTTTTCTAAAACAAATCGCAAATACTTCTAGCATAAAAAATTACTTTTAGCCGAACATGTGTTATGTTCAAACCTTCATCGAGAAGAAGGAATTCGTGAGTTCCGGGGATGTCCTTAAGAGCAAGAACATATGTAGTACGAGGTCCAAAAATCCCCATAGCAGCAGCAACTTGTTCTCTTCCTGTAATCCCTGTAAGCTTGTCTCCAGGCCACACTCCAAAGATGGTTCCCACAGTGAAGTTTGTGTCAACAATGCTGGAACCATCAAGTGGATCAAATGCAACACTAAATCCTCCTGTTCAAAAATTTTGAGATGAAAAAGTTTTGTAGGCATCTCTTAGCCTATCTGCGGATAAATGTAAGCTCAAAACGAATTATAGAGACCTTCAGCTGGTCCTCCCATGTCTTGGAGCTCGGGCACTTCTTCAGAGCAAGCATATTTGCAGAAGTGAGAGTACTGCAAGGCCTAGGAACAAGAAATCAAAAGCAAGAATTATATAAAGATCTTACAGCCTCACACGGATTTATTTAGAAACAAAAAGAAAGAATAGCCTCGACAAAAATGCATTGGAATCGGACCAAAAAAAAGGTGTTTCAGGTTCGTCATCTGTTATGTAAGAGTACGAACATAAAGATTTTTGTGATCTACATATAGTATATAATTACTTTCTTCAAAGTTGTGATAGTGAAATGAATTGTTTGATGGACATATGACTATTGTTTATCCATGTATTCTCATTTTCAGAATAATCAATGAGCCATTCACTTTTATTTTTATAAGCAACGATCAATAGTGCGTGATGAACCTCGACATTGTCTCGTACTGTCCAACCCAACTTATCAAATATACCAAAAAGAGCATGCTTTTGAGACAGTAAAACACAAGCAAAAGCACTATGAGTCCAATTCCTACCTCAAATAGAAGGTTATTGGCAAGCATATCAACAGCAAGCTGTTCATCTCCAAAAGAGTTGACACAAGCTGTTCCACCACAAGAAGCTGTTCTTACTTTGAAGGCAATCGTTCTCAATGCTTCTCCCATGCACACCATCAGCGTAATTAATCCCTTATCGGTTGTCGCCTTTGTAAGGAATTCTTCCTGAATTCAGACAGACCATAAGAACAATCAAACCTTAAACTTGCATGTTTGATACACTAGATTGGATGACACCTGTTTGTCTTCCTTAATTACATCCAATTCAGCATACCTAACATGTTTTTCATAGGAATCCTTCCGGACAGTTTTTCCTTCAAATTGAACTGCTTATCAACGAATCATCTGAATTAAGTTAGTAATTAATTAACTCACCAAACTATCACCAATCTCGCACTTGGTCACTAGAGAAGAGTTCTTCATCTTTGAAACTCTAAACGACGATTTTGAAGCAATTCGCAAGGATTCTCCAAATAGTGAGC